TAAACCCTACATCCTAACCCTAAACCCTAAACCCTAAACCCTAAACCCTAACCCTAAACCCTAAACCCTAAACCCTAACCCTAAACCTAAACCCTAAACCCTAAACCCTGAAGCTTTTGCGGCGCTTTTGTCGATCTGTTCAATTGAAGGCCTCAGCTCTCTGCGGCCGATAAGGGTTTACGGCGGGAGGTCCCAACTAGGGTTTAGGGTTTAGGGTTTAGGGTTTAGAACTGAGCGCGCCTGGATTGCCAGAAGGGCTGCAACAACGAGCAGCAAAGGAATGACTGCGCTGCTCCACACCAAGGCGTTTGCTGCTGCTTTTGCTGCTGCCTTTGCTGCTGCTTTCGCCGCTGCTCTTGCTGCTGCTCTTGCTGCCGCTTTTGCTGCTGCTTTGTTCTCGCTGCTGCTGCTGCTGCTGCCCACGCAGTGTCGCGCAGTTCTCTCTAAGACAGGAGACTCTAAAGAAGATCCTTGCTGCTGCTGCTGCTGCTGCTGCTGCTGCTGCTGCGTGCGTTGGCTGCAAAGTGACGCATCTTGCTGCTGCTGCTTCGGCGCAGCAGCCGCAGCACCATCAGCAGCAGCAAGGCCGGGGCTGTTACGCCCTCCAGCAGCGACGCTGTTACTATTTCTGCGGTTCTTGCTGCTGCTGCTGCTGCTGCTGCTGCTGCCTTCAGCGCTGCACTGTACAGACAGGCTTTTGAGCAGCGGAGTTTCGCCGCCAAGAGGAAGTGGCACGTACACGTCGATTGGCTGCTGCTGTTGCTGCTGCTGCTGCTGCTGCTGTCTGCTGCTGCTGCAGCACAGCAGCAGCAGCCGCACCTGGTGCTGCAGCTTCTTCCAAAGCACAGCTGCTGCTCGTCGCACAAAAGCTGCTGATGAGCTTTCCGGAAAGTCTGCTGCTGCTGCTGCTGCTGGTCTTGTCCGCAGCAGCAGCAGCAGCGCAACACAGACGCACACCAGCGTGGCAGCAGCAGCAACAAATGCAGCAGCACCTGCCGCGCAAGTTAGGCTCAGCAAGAAGCAACCTGCTGCTGCTGCTGACGAAAAGCATGCTGTTATGCTGTCTTCTGTGCTGCAGCAAACGGAGACACAGTTGAAGTTCGGCTGCTGCTGCTGCTGCTGCTGCAGTTGCTACAGCTGCTGCTAGCGTTCTTTCTGCGTCAGCAGCAAAAGGGCTGAAAGCCGTGAGCACTTGGTCCTCAACCCTAAACCCTAAACCCTGACTCTCCGCCGTAAACCCTAAACCCTAAACCCTAAACCCTAAACCCTAAACCCTACTTGCAGGAGTGCGCGCACTGCTGCAGCGCCAAGGGCAGCAGCAAATCTGTTTTTGTGGTGTCTCTTCTGTCTCCAGTTTCCAGCAGCAGCACTTGAGATCTGTGGGGAGACTTTTCTGGGGAGGCAGCAGCAGGCTCCTTAGGCACAGCTTTGCTGCTGCTGCTGCTGCTGCTGTTGCTGCTACTGCTGCTGCTCCCGCTGCTGCTGCTGCTGCCGCCGCTTCCGCCGTTGTTTTTCTGGGGCTTGGGCCCCAGGTATCTCCCCTGCTGCTGCTGCTGCTGCTCCTGCTCCTGCTGCAGGCCACTCTGCGGGGATGAGCCTGCTGCTGCTGCTGCTGCTGCTGTCCCTGCTTCTGCTGCTGCTGCTGCTGCACCTTCTGGCTGCTCGTCTGCAGCAAAGTATTCATTTCTTTCCTTAAAAATCGAAAAGAAAGAAATCTGGTGATACTCAGAAGCAAACGTCGAGCTGCCGCTTATCACCAACCTGCAGCAGCAGCAGCAGCAGCAGAAGCAGCAGAAGCAGCAGCAGCAGCAGCAGAAAGACCAAATTGATGCCCTGAGTCATTAGGTAGCTGAATAGAAGCCGCAGCAGAGACATGGAACAGCTCGCTGGCGCAGAGGCAGCAGCAGCAACAGCTACTGCTGCTGCTGCAGCTGAAACAGCAGCAGCAGCAGCAGTAGCAGCAACAGCAGCAGCAGCGGCTTACAGGCTAGAAGGCAGAGCTAGGAGGAGAGCAGCAATAGCAGCATTCAGCAGCAGCAGCGCAGCAGCAACTCTTAGCAGCCGCCGTTCCTTGTCCCTGGCGAACCGCAGCAGCTGACTCTCAGCAGCCCTTTTGCTGCAGCAGCTGCTGCACTGCTGCTGCTGCTGCACCCAATCCTGCTTGTATGTCTGCTGCTGCTGCTGCTGCTGCTGCAGCAAGGGTTCATAGCTGAAATTGCAGTCATCAGTTAAGGCGCTCAAGGAACTCTCGGTGGAGTCAAAAGTTGGCATTGCTATCACCGCCATTTTTGCTGCTGCTGCTGCTGCTGCTGCTGCTGTTGCTGCTGCTGCTGCACCTGCTGCTGCTTCTGAGAGAAATAAACGGCAGCATCGAAGCCCAGAGGTAGTGGCTTCCCAGTCAACAAAAAGTTGCTACGTTACTTCTGCAGCTGTAGTGCTGCTGCTGCTGCTGCTGCTGCTAGAACTGCTGCTGCTGCAGTTTCCCAGACACCGTTGCTGCTGCTACTGCTGCTAAAAGAGTTGTGCCGGTTGCTGCTGTTGCTGGAGCTGCTGCTGCTTCTGCTGGAGTAGGGCCTGAGTCGCCGACTTTGGCTCTGCTGCAGTGCAGCACCGCAGCGCGGCATTCATTTGTGCTGCTGCTGCTGCTTCTGCTGCTGCTGCTCCACTTTGTTCCTGCTGCAGTCGCTGTTGCTGCTGCTATTGCAGCTCCTGTTAACCCTACAGCTGCTATGCCGCCGACTGCAGCTGGAACTTCTGCTGCTGCTGCTGCAGCGTCTGCTGCTCCAGCTGCAGCTTCTGCTGCTGCTGCTGCAGCTTCTGCTGCTGCAGCTTCTGCTGCTCCAGCCGCAGCTTCTGCTGCTGCTGCTGCAGCTTCTGCTGCTGCTGCTGCAGCTTCCGCTGCTGCTGCTGTTGCGCCGGTGGTCCTTCTAAAGCAGCTGGATGTCTTTAAAGCTAAACTGCTGCAGCTTCTGCTGCTCTTCTGTGACGCTGCAGCAGCAGCAGCATTGAAGTTAACGAATGTGCTGCTGCTGCTGCTGCTGCTGCTGCTGTGCCAGTTTGGCAGCAGCACAAGGTGTCTGTACACCTGAACTAGTTGGGCTCGAGACCTTTTGCCTCGGAACGATGAAATGAACTAGAAGAAAAGCAAAACAAATTTATTTATAGTTTATCTACTTATTTATTTCCTTTTAACTCATTTATTCTTTATTTCAGCCCCACTAAAGACCAGCAGCAAGCACCAACCCCAACCTCGGACCCCAGCAGCAGCAGCTGCTGCTGCTCCTGCTGCTCGTGCAGCAGCAGTGTCTGCTTGCTCCTGAAGCTCAAATAAACTGATAACAATTGCGAAACAAATAAATAAATTAAAATAAATAAAGTTTATTCTCCACACAACTCCCTCAGCTGCTGCTGCCGAGTCTGCTGCAGCCCAACAGCAGCGCCTGCTGCTGCTGCTGCTGCTGCAGCTGCTCTTCTTGCCCTTCACACCCGCCAAATTGAATTAATTAAACTCTCAATTGTATTTCATTTTAATTTCATTTTATTCTTTTCAGTAATTCCCTCGGCACTGCAACACCACTTGTTGCTTCCGTGCCCCCCAGCAGCGGCTAGCAGGTAGCCAGCTAGCTAGCCACTGCAGCCAGCTAGCTAGCCAGCCGCCTGGGTAGCTAGCTAAGCTTCCAGGCAGCTAGCTAGCTATACAGCTAGCCAGAAATCCAGCTAGCTAGCCACACAGGTGGCTAGCTAGCTGCATAGACAACTACACAGCTAGCTCTCTAGCTAGCTATCTCGCCAGCCGACAAGGTAGCTATCTAGCTGCATAGGCAAATAGCTAGCCAGCTAGCTAGCTAGCTGGCTGGCTGGCTGGCTGGCTAGCTGGCTAGCTAGCTAGCTAGCTAGCTCCTTTTTGTGTGTCTCGCCCAGTATCCCTGTTGTTTGCTGCTGCTGGTGATTTGCCTCCTGGCTCTTTGATTTCATAACTAAAAAATGAGCAACCTGAAGCTGGCCTTCATTCTGGCTGGAATTGCAGCAGCAGCAGCAGCAGCAGCTGCTGCTGCTGCTGCTGTTGCTGCTGCTGCTGCTGCTCATACAAAGACCTACAAAATCGCGAGACCCAGGCAGCTAATTGAGGTGTCTGTACAGCTCAGCTAGTCCTCGGGCCTCGTCATTCGCGCCCAAAACTCCGCGTAAGATTCCACCTGCTGCTGCTGCTGCTGCTGCTGCTTTTGCTGCTGCTGCTGCTGCTCCCAGGTTTGCGAGACTTCCAGAAACTCATCTAGGGTTTGCTGCAGCAAACTCTGGGGCACTGCCATGTACATCCAGGGGAAGCCGGGGGCCCCCTCAGCCCCCAAGGGGGGCCCCCCAACTGTTACTTTGTCTTCTGTGTCGCTGTCGCTGCTGCTGCTGCTGCTGCTGCTGC